GTAGTTACTACATTGTCATGTCAGTCCATGTTCAGCAAACAGTGCGCTGTGACTTTAATTCAGCGCGTGCAGCGGAAACGATCTCTGCTCTGCTGCAGACACACCGCTCCTGAAACACACTGACGGACCGCAGCAGTGTGAAAGCTTTAATCCGTTAACATGAGTGCAGAAACAATATGCACTGCAAACGGAGTATGTGTGAACCTGGCGTTATATATGTGTGTGTGTGTGTGCATGATCAATCGGAGCAGCCCTAATTTTAGTAGTTTATGCGCAAATAAATACAAGCAAAATACAAATGGTCATTAAAATGATAAAAAAAACAAAACAAAAAATTACACTAAGGGCCCTCCTGTCTACTATGCATTTGCATGTATGCTGATTATGTATCGTGTTGTAACAATATTTTGCTTTTCTGTCCTGCACTTCTAGTTTTATGTGATAGAATACGCAGCCTGTGATGCCACGCTAAATGAAATCGTTACATTAGAGAGGTTACGGCCTGTGAACCCCAACAAAGCCGCGTCAAAGATCACCTTTCTCAAAATCAGACTAGATGTTCCTGAAGACTTGAGACAGATGTAAGTCCATCTTCTGTTGCTGAGTTTGAAGTGTTTAGGAGGATTCTTTGTTTGACTTCAAACTGGGATGCTGTTGTATAAAATCTGTGCCTTTTTTTGTTTTGTTTTGTGTGTTGGTTTTTGGATAGGTGTGCGAAAGACTCTGCACATAAAGACTTCAAAAAAGCCATTGGAGCATTTAACGTCACTTATGACTCGGAAGAAAAGCAGTTGGTTATTTTGGTAATCTGCGACGTTTCAAACCGATTTAAGGATTTCTGATTTCACATTTGTACGTTTTAAGTCGATTCTTGTCTCTCTCTTTCAGTCTGTTAATGAGGTTACAGCAAAGCGAATAGGCATGTTGAGTGACATGCACTTCAGGAGTCTGCGCACAAAGCTGACGCTGATACAGAGGAATGAGGAAGCAACCCGACAGCTGGAGGTACTGCCTGACGTTTAGTGTCAGGTTCAACCTGCTCACTCACAATACTCTCAAACAGTCACATGCCAAGTATTTTATGCAAAATAGTTTTTATTTCACAGTAGTGTAATTATATTTTATTGCTGTAATATAACTGTCCAGTAGTATTTTCATAAATACCTTGCTTTATTTCTTACTATTAGAATGTCCTGCAGCATATAACTGGACACAATTGCATGGAGTGGCAGTAGAAAGAGTCTATATTTAACAGGTGTAAAAGGGTGTATCCCTGCCTGTATCCCTGCTTTGGCATAATATGATACTCTGTTGATATGCAGAGCTATATTTACAGATGCATAGGCTACGTACAGCTATTGTTTTAGCTCTTAAAATGTGTTTTATCTGTGCAAAGGCTGTGTTTATGGTAAAATTGTAGGCACTTAAGGTGTGTGTGTGTGTATATGGGTTTTCAAGCATCAAAACAAAAGTTTAATACAACTTTTTTATGGTTTGAATTACAAAAATGAACCATTTTTATTACTAAAAAATAACATGCAGCATCATGCACTATGGGTGTGTATAAAGCGTTAAAATTAGGGATGCACCAATATGAAAATTTTGGCCGATACCGATAACAGAAAAAATTAGCATTTATCGGCCGATACCGATATGGTGGCCGATATATCGTGCATCCCTAGTTAAAATATTGTATTGCCCCTTTAATAAGTACGTTTGTGCATTGATATGAACCCTGAGGCATATTGAAATAGTGAAAACAAACAGAGTATATATCAGAACACTGTTAAGATTCAAGCTGGCCTTTTTCCCTCCAGAGTTCTCGGCAATTGGCCTCAAGGTTCCATGAGCAGTTTGTGGTGCGTGATGACCTCATGGGATTGGCCATAGGCACCCATGGGGCGAATATCCAGCAGGCCAGAAAGATTCCTGGGGTCACAACCATCGACCTCGATGAAGAGACCTGCACGTTTCACATCTATGGAGAGGTAACTGCTTTATTGGTGACTTTCTGGTAAGGGTAAACACAATTAAATGTGATGGCTGTTAGAATATGTAAGCCTGGCTTGACGTTTGTGATGGATTTCGTTTGAATTCCAGGACCAGGAGGCTGTACGGAAGGCCAGAAGCTACCTGGAATTTTCTGAAGATATTATCAAAGTTCCTAAGAATTTAGTCGGTGAGGACAAATGAAATGAACCGCTTTCTCCTTCACGGACTGGGCCTGCTGTCCTGCACCATTATGGTTAATGTGCATCATTAAATAATTGTCTACCCTGTCCTGCAGGAAAAGTTATTGGCAAGAGTGGGAAGCTGATTCAAGAGGTTGTGGATAAATCAGGTGTTGTCCGAGTTCGAGTGGAACCGGAAAATGACAAAAAGCCTGCTCCATTAGAGGAGGTCAGTGAGTGGGTTGCTGAACACACTCGATGTTGTATTTATGGGCGGCAAAAGTGATGATGCTGAAAAAATGCATTAAATCATAGTAATTGGTGTGGACTTTATTATAGCCGACTAATCAATTTTAGGAGTATTGATTTTACTAAATATTTCAAAGCCTGCTTTAAGAATGAAAAAGCAAAACTGAAGCTCTGTGTGTTGTGTGTGTGTGTGTGTATATAAATATATATATTTCTAAATCAATATTCAAATTATCATTCATACTGACAAAATATTATTCATACTGACTTGAATTACAACCACAGGGAATGGTGCCATTTGTGTTTGTGGGGACGAAGGAAAGCATTTCAAATGCACGGATTCTGCTGGACTACCATCTGAATTATCTAAAGGTAAGAACCAGTTTTAAAGTTTTCTAAGACAATTACTATTCAGCATACTTTGGGGTTATTGTTTAAAGTAAACCTTCAACCCAAGGTATTAAACTTTGGTGTATAACTCGTCTGGCTTGACTTTCTTCTTTTTAAAGTTTCTTCTTTGGCAGTCAAAACATGGCTAAAAAAAAAAAAAAAAGTAGTCTTACATTGAAGTCTTGAAATCATTTTCTTAAAAAAAAAAAAAAAAAACTTTTTTTTTTTTACCCTAAAAGTAAACTTAACAAAATATACCTATTTGAACAACGGAAGTAGTTTTTTTTTTTTAATAATATTTATGTAAAATATCACATTGTTGTTATTATTTGTAAGGTGGTTCTCTTTTAATGAGTTGATCAGCAAGTTTTCTATAAGAAATACTTCCATACTTTTTTGTTTGTTTTAAAGAATTGCGCTTGGGAACATTCTTAACAAACTTCTTAGAATGTATTACCTTAAGAAACTTCTTTCTTAAAGATTTCCATTCATCTGTCCCCAGTATTACAATGAGACACGGGTTTGGCTTTGTGACCTTTTGCATCTGTGGTTTTGTGCATTTGTTTTTATGAGTTATGCTCCAATAAACACCGCATTTACTTCTGAAAATGTAAACGTATAGTTATCCTTCCTGTTGAACAGCTTTTCCTCACAGAGCACATTAGTGCTCATTACAAAGCAGCAATTGTTGATTAGTGACCTACTAAATACCCCAGAGATACTCCTGTGATGTTCACTACTGATTTAGACTCTTTGTTCTTGTGTGATGGTGCATTCTTCATATTTGTTTGGTCTTGTTCAGGAGGTAGATCAGCTGCGAATGGAGCGACTGCAGATCGATGAACAGCTCAGACAGATCGGTGGAGGGCCTAGAGCTCTGCCGGGACGACCCGAAAAAGAAAAACCTTTCATGGCTGATAATGGAATGGGACCCTCACGAGGTGGCGGCAAACCCTTCGGTCGTGGAGGGAGAGGGAGACGGGGCCCGACACTGGCTTCAGGTATGACCGGCCTCAAATAAATGAAATTAGAGCATATCTGGATATGGAAGTTCACACTAAAGGTTCTAAACCTTTTCTAAGAAAATAGGTTATGTAATAGTATTACTTTCTGTAATTTAAAAGCCATTGGTTAGATCTGTAAGCATCAGGCGAGCACTAGTTAAAGCATTATGTTAATCACTTTCTTCATAATGGACTGTATTTGTCCCAGGCACCAACTCTGAGGCCTCTAATGCATCTGAGACTGAATCCGACCACAGAGATGAGCTCAGTGACTGGTCCCTGGCCCCTACAGATGAGGAGTCCATGGGTTACCCCAAAAGGGCCCCTGATGGACGCAAAAGGGGTGGAGGGCCCCGGGGTCGTGGAGGGAGAGGAAGAGGAGGATACAAAAGTCAGTTTTTGAGCTGTCACTCATCTTAAGGCCTTTTACAATGTTTCTTACAGTATTTAAAAAAACATTTTTGGGAAAATAAGTATTTGATGTTAAAGGGATAGTTCACCCAAAAATGTAAATTTGATGTAGGTGATTTTGTTTCTTCAGTAGAACACAAACGAAAATGTTTAACTCAAACCGTTGCAGTCTGTCAGTTATATAATGGAAGTGAATGGGAATCACGGCTTTGAGAGTAAAAAAAAAACATACACAAACAAAACCAAATTAAACCCTGCGGCTCGTGACGATACATTGATGTGTAAAGACACGAAACGATCAGTCTGTGCAAGAAACTGAATTTACAGTAATTATATCGTTTTTTTACCTCTGATGCACTGCAATGTCCGAACTGTCCTGAGCGCGTTCTCAACAGCCGGCGTGTGACGCGTCTTCTTCTTGCTTTATGGCGGATTGCATTGACATGGACCATTGACACTCCTAATTGAGATTGTAGATAGTGTCAATGGTCTATTTGATGTCATTAACATTTGCATTATTTAAAACTATTTAAGTTTTTGTAAAAGTCTTGGTAATGTTTGTCAGATGTATTTATCAACATCATATTTTAATAAATTAAATTTTCATCATAATTGTTACTAATACCAGTACAATTTTACAATTATTAATGCTGAAATATATATATATATATATATATATATATATATATATATAAAACACCTAATTTTAAAAGGTTAAAAATATTGTAAATTCAGGTTGAAGCCTGCATGGCATTAAATATTTCTCAATAAAATTTCTCATAAAATATATGCAAAAAACATTTTTTTTTTTCAGGTTTATCAAGTAGTTATTAATATGCAAGTAATAAAATAAAGAGTAAATAACATGCAATTGAAAAACAGGACAAATTAAAATATGACAGCCGTTTTTATAAAAAAAATAAAAAAAAAACCTTGGGACAGGATCATGCTTTATATTTTTTATAGCATGGCTATAGCTTTATTAAACATAAAATGTTGTACATTTTTCTTTTTTGTGTGTTTGTTTATCAGATCCGCATCAACAGCAATAACGAGAGGAGCGTCCACACCAGCCGAGGCTCTCAGGCTCTGGCAGGAGACAGCGGAGGGAACCGGCAGAGACCCATGAAGGAGCGAGTGATGAAGAAAGACAAGCAGGACGGCCCGGACAGCCAAGCCGTTGTGAACGGCGTTTCGTAGAGAATAACGTGCCCCCTTTCCCCCATTCTCCCACTCAGCTCCACCAATCCAGATGCTTCTTCATTAGAGACACATTAGGCCAAAGAGAACCAGGTCAGTAGGGCTGTCGCAAGACATGACATAAAGCACACTTTCTAATTGTTAGTTGGGGTAAAAGACGAGGTCTCTTGGTGTATGGTGTGTTGAATTCGGTAGTCTTCACGGATTAAAGAGACCGGCCTCTAAATCACAACAGAAGCTACAGGTTTTCTAATTGACTTTCTAAACAACTACCTATGAAGCATAAAGAAGCTGTGGATTAAATGTCTCTCAAAATGGAATTCTGAAATGTTTTCCAAGCAATTGGTTTTTAAAGTTTATGTTTTCCACAATGTCCCAAACAAAAGGGAAAGAAACACATTGGAGAATGAACTCAAGCGCTCGGGGGCCCAAGTTTATGCCACATCTCACGGCATACGTTGTTTTTTTTTACGTGCTTTGGTGTCCATGATTACGCGAGCCCATTCTGATGTGAGATCTTAGCCACAAAAATAACACAAAAAAAAAAATACCTAAAAATGGCAAATGAAAAAAAATAAAAAGCTCCTGTCTGGATCTGTGCCTTTAACTAGTGTGAATAGTATCATAATTTGGATGTTTAAATCAGGGAAGAAGACGTGAACAGCCTGTCTGAGCAACGTGTGTTGCAATCTCAGCCGACGACTAAAAAAAAAAAAAAAAGGTTTTTTTCTTTTTCTTTTTTTTCTGTGCTGCATGTATTTCACCAACATTTTGTATGTCTGAAAAGCAGGATTCTATCAAGTCGGCCGAATTCTGATATTTTGCCATAGCTGAATTGTGTGTAATAAAGGTATTAACCTAACTAAACTAGTCAACTGTGGAAGTCATAAATTGTAACCGACCACCCAGAGACGAATATCAATGCTAATTCATTGTCGTCAACATCACAACATCAGTTAATTTTGTCATTTAGCATATCTTTGCATTGTAGGGCAATTATTATTATTTTTTTTTTAAGAGGTAGCAAAGCAGTTTTCTTTCAAAAAACATGTCTGTCATTTTCCTCCCACGCAAGGTGAACTTGTTTGTTTGTTTTTTTTTCTCTCACAAACAATTTGGAAATGCTCATTTTGGTTTGCATTCATGCTGGCCACAGTAAACTGCCATCTCTCCTGCTGTATTTCTCAGCATCAGGTGTGAAGCACTTATATCAGATCTCTGTAACATTGTCTGTGTCCTAACAATGGCTCATCTGTGGGGTTGCATACTGTATATTATGTCATCCGTTAAGAGATTGTTGCTGTTCTTTTTAGATTGAACTTTAAATGTGCACTTATCATGTTTGTGTTACTCTGCAAGTACTTTATAATCTCTAAACCTATAATAAACTAGAATGTGATGAGACTTCCTCGGCAGGTGAATCACATGTATGCTGTCAACATAACTAAACTGAAGTTTAGATATCTTTGCTAATTTTGAGTCTACTGTACTTTTGCAGCTGAATTCGCTTGGAGAGGGGCGAGAAGGGGGAATATGCGATGTTAACTTTGATATGAAAACCGTCTGTCTTATCCGATTAGTGCTTGTGCATTAAACTTTAGTTTACATTTTCGAGAAGACGCGATGCTGTTCTGAACCCACGATTCTTTCCAAACCTACTGTGACGATAACCATGGTAGTTTTTTTCTGCTTTTCCTTTGACTTGTGCAGCAAGAAACCTGTTCTTTGCTCTTTTTCTCTATGTTTCTAGTTCTCTTTGCGCTCCTGTACTCTCGCTAGTCACCTTGGCGAATAACCTGTTAAGCTTATGCACACCAGTTTGGAAGTGATTTGCCTGTGAATACGAAACGGAAGCTGAAAAGAACCTGTGACTGGCGGAGGATTTGCGGAAATATAAACCACTCTCTCGACGGAGGCGGCTCAGGATGCCCCTCTCGTGTGACTCTTTAAAAAAAAATAATAGCCTTTACTTCAAAATAAGGTGTTAAATGGTTTACGCTCAGTATTTTTTAAAACCTGCACGTCCATGGCGGGCAGTAAAACTGGCAAGATGGCGCAGTTCGCCACAGTCTGTTCGAGAATAACGATAAAAAAAACCCTGTTTCGACCCTGTTGAAAAAAACAGAATATGCTGGGTTAGGTATGTTTTGATGCTGGGATGCTGGTTTAAGATGGTCCTTTGCTGGTTTATGCTGGTCCTTTGCTGGTTTAAGCTGGTCCTTTGCTGGTTTAAGATGGTCCTTTGCTGGTTTATGCTGGTCCTTTTGCTGGTTTAAGCTGGTCCTTTGCTGGTTTATGCTGGTCCTTTTGCTGGTTTATGCTGGTCCTTTGCCAGCACATGACCAGCATAAACCAGCAAAAGACCAGCATAAACCAGCAAAGGACCAGCTTAAACCAGCAAAGGACCAGCTTAAACCAGCAAAGGACCAGCTTAAACCAGCAAAGGACCAGCTTAAACCAGCAAAGGACCAGCTTAAACCAGCAAAGGACTAGCTTAAACCAGCATCAAAACATACCTAACCAGCATATGCTGTTTTTTTCAACAGGGTAATCTTTTGAAAGTGTTGCCAAACAGACTGTTTTCTAATTATTTATTTTTTGGGAATGTATATTAAAATGACAAATTGTAAAACCATCTCTTGCACACATCGTAGGCTATTGTGATTGAAAAAGAGCTAAAGAAAAAAACATGAAATACTGTAGATACTGAACTGAGGCAGACTGACCTTTGTATGTTACTGCACTTTGGGTAATAACGTCTTTGTACATAATAATAGCAGAACAGACTGGGTTTTATGTTGACGTTGTTTGGTTATAGTGCAATATATTTTGTATGCAAGCAGTTTCAATAAATAAAGGTTGATCTTCCTCTGCAATCTGAAGTGTTTTTTATTCCTCGCGGGGAATTGGGCGTTTTACATTCCATATGTGGTGATAAATCTTCCCGTCGTTAAACACGACAGCAGACTTCATTATAGCGCGTTAACATCAGCAGGTTCCTCTCCGTGTGAAATCTTGCTGTGTTGCTCGGTTTGTGCGTTGGGTTGTTGGTCCACTTTGTGGCGCTGTGGCACAGGCTAAATCCTACTGTAATGCCACTGCAACTGTTCCTGTAATGAATGCTGGCAGTACATCAGCGTTTTAACAGGGTGAATGCAGGTGAATTGGGACAGTTTGATATTGAGATGTTTTACCTGAATTCACCCTGTATATAACAGCTGCATATTCTGCTGTGTTATAATAATCTGCATTATTTCAAAAGAAAAAACAAGTAAGATTTGCTTTGTTATTAAAGATGTGAGATTTCATGCTGGTTTATGTTTCGACTGCATTTCAAAGTAAATCGGGCTACCTTACAAATGTTAGATGTTACTTTTTTAAAATCTTTTGGAAAGAAGTCTCTTATGCTCATCAAGGCTGCATAAATTGGATCAAAATGCAGTAAGACAGCAATATTGTGAATATTATTACATTTTTGAATATATTTTAAAATGTAGAAATCATTCCAATATGCTGATTTTGCTGCTTGAGAAACACGTATTATTAATGTTGAGACCAGTTGTGGTGCTTAATATTTTTGTGAAAATCATATATATGGGAAATGAGTGTGTATATGGCTCATAATGTCCACAAATATCTGAATTCATAGATGGATAGATAGAAAGGTATATTTTCAGAATTTTTTTGATGAATAGAACAAAGAACACCATTTATTTTATTGTAATGTTTACAATACTGTCACCTTTGATCAATATAATGAATCAAACTGAATTTCCCCCCAAAAAATTTTAAATCATAGAGTGAGCTGAACATAGTACAGTACAAATGTATGTTGTAGAATTTTTTTAACATCAGTAATATTAAAATTGATTTGATTTGATCATTTTTAGGGGAACATGGTTATAAGTATGGTTGCTTAGAAAACTAATAGCACACCTCTCCTCAATAAACTGCATAATTACAGGTATAATTCATGTAATTGGCTTGGCATGTGTTGCAGACTATGGTTTAATTAAATACTAAGTATGAGCAATAGTAACAATGATACTTGCCTTATTATGAGGTGTCAGATTCATATCATAGGTTTTCAAAATCAGTCATGTTTCTTTCCATTTCACATTGCCACATTGGTGGAACTGCATGAGGTTTGTAAGTATTTAACTATGAATCTCTAAAATGGATCCACATTGGCTATTTAAATGTCTTACCGTTTCCTCTGCCTTCTCTGACACTCTTCTGCTAGACAGAGTGCAATTGGAAAGAAGAAGAAAAAAACAGTTTTGGTCCCGCATCACTGGATTTCCACAAGAGCTGACAGAAATTTTAGCCACTCTGCCTTTTTGCAGGAGGAAAGGACCAATTACCTCCGACCCCAAACAAAGTCTGTTGGAGCCCTTACCCTGAGATCCCCATCATCATCCACCAGACTGACCTAGTTTCCTCTCCACTAACAACCACAAGAACAGCAAACAGTGACCTGAGATGCTGTATCAACTCTCTCGCTCATTGGCATGTTGTCTAGTTCATTTAAAGCAACACTCAAAAACCTGTTCCCCCTTCTCTCCCTCCTCCGCCCCTTTCTTTCTCTCCCTGTGCGGTCATTAATAAATGCATGGGAAATTAATGACAACACTTAAAATTATGCCTGCAGTACTATTTAATTAGTATATAATGACAGAAGATGTACATCTATCACAGCTCTGTCCAAGTCAAGTGCTTTAATTTAAAGTAAAAATGTAGTGCATTAATCTAACATTGATGAGTTACTACACAGCAAAGATTCAATTAAAATGTCCTTTTTTTTAAGTAACAAAAGCATGGTGCTATAAATTGTAATATAATCTATATAATTTTTTTTGCACATTTTGCACCACATTTACTTTATGTAGTTACTGCAGAATCATACTCATTTTGAAAGTTTATGTATGTGTGTGTGTGTATACGAACGGTTTATTTGCAAAAACGGATAAATCATGTTTTATGTTTTTGTGTTAGCTGTATTTTTTTTTTTGCTATTTAATCAAAACAACGCAACTGCAGTTTGATTGATATTAACTGGAATGTAGGATAAAAAACATGATTTTTGTTATCTGTTTTTGCAAATTAACTCTTGTGTGTGTGTGTGTGTGCGTGCAAAGAAATCTATATAACATAAAATTATTTTTAAAAACTGTTGGATTTTTACAAGATGTTTAAAAAGCAAAGTTGATATTTGTTCAACTTTCAGTATTAGTTCATTGTTTCAATCTTAAAAAATGATGACACTACACTTTTTTAAAGAACATATTACTTTGTTACATCTGGCTTTTTTTAGAACCAATATATCCAATTTGTAGTTAAAAGCTGAACGTTTTTCATGTTGCTTTTATGCAACTATATTAAAAAGTTATTATTTACATCATCTCAAACATCCAGAACTAAAATATATATTATTGTGCATGTAGTTGCATAACCATTACTAGATAAATGGTCTGTTCTGTTCTCTGGTTTTATGGGTCAACCAGACATAATTATTTGTACAACGTGTAAAGAACAGCATGTTTCATGGTGCAGCTCTAACAAAAAGATGCACCCAGTAACGAGCAGCAAGCACTTTGTCTTTTCGAAGCTAATTTTTAAGCGTCCAGCCCCTCCCCCCTCTCTCTTGGTCCCCCATGACTCATTTCTGTGTTGCTCCTGGCTTGTGAGAGTCGTGTTGGACTCGTGTGTGCTGGAGCGGGATTCAGGGGCCACACACTGAGCTGCTGTCAAACCGCACTCCAGCGCCATCAGTCTGGTTTTAACATCACAGACTTAATATCTGTTCCCTTTCAGTTGGTCACTCTGAGTCACGTCGGTGACCGATGAATTGGGATCTCACCAATGCACATTGGCATGCGATAATTGCATCCAGCTGCTGCTCGTCACGGCACGAGCATAAGTAAGCAGCAGGTGCAACGCATATTCTGCTTTTCGCTTCGAAGCCAAGCAGTTCTATTGTTCTGCTCTGCCTTTCATCTGAAGAGGAGTATTCTGATGAGTCAACGAGTGCTTTGGGAAAGAGGCTTCTTCATAGCTGGTGTTGGTGTGATGGCGCTGCAGCGGTGGTTCGTGGATGTGTCATGCCGTCATTGTGGCGGTATGACCATCGTGGCATTGCAGCTGAGACTCCAATACATCAAAAGAGGTGGAGTCCCATACCTATGCCCCGATATAGTCGCTCTTCTGTTCCGCAGAGGAGAACTACTTCGGTGAATAGCCAGGGTAGCCTGAGGGTTACAGTGGGGGCAAACACGCTGAGTGAATCTCTGTGGGCCCCACACTCCTCTAGCACCCCGCAAGCTATGGAGCTGCTGGGTGTACGTGTCGGTGCCTCGTACAGGATGAGGACTCAGCTGTGCTGCCCCCTTCGGGGAGAGTAGCGTTGCCCGAGCTTGACCCAGAATTGACGGCTATGCTATTTCCCGAGTAGCCGAGGCGGTCGGTCTCGAGTGGAAATAGCCACTGTGTCCCGAACCGTCGAGGTTAGATGATTGGTATCTCGGGGTGGCCAGGGCTACCCCCGCGCCAGTGCCATTCTTCCCTGAATTACATGAAGAGGTAACTAGGTCGTGGAAGGCACCTTTTTCTGCCCGAAACCGATCTGCTGCCTCCTCCTCCCTCACTACCCTGGATGGCGGGGCGGCCAGGGGATACGTGGTGGTCCCCCCAGTGGAGCACATGGTTGCGATGCAATTGCGTCCAAGGAGCGCTTCCACCTGGAGGGGTAACCCGCATCTCCCATCCAAGGCCTGTAAGTTCTCGTCCGTTCTTATGGTCAAGGCTTACATAAGGCCTCCGCCCTGCACGCCATGGCACTCCTGCAGGTATGCCAGGCCAAGGCACTAAAGAAGTTGCACGAGGGTAGTTCTGACCCAGGGCTGATGCAGGAGCTGCACACAGCGACGGACCTCACCCTGAGAGTGACGAAAGTCACTTCGCGCTCCCTGGGTCAGACGATGGCCACGTTGGTGGTCCAGGAACACCATCTCTGGCTGAATGTGGCGCACGCTGAGTGAATCTCTGTGGGCCCCACACTCCTCTAGCACCCCGCAAG